ATCAAAGTAAATCTGTCCTAAGGAAACTATTCGTTGGTTTTAAGCACTGAAGGAATGAAGGAAGATGCACGAAGGGGAGAGACGAAGAAGACAAAGAATCAAAATTTAATCAACGTGTAATAGTATTTTGTAAATGACTATTATACCCTTCTTTCTAAATTTTGTTGCCCTGACCCTTCCTTGACTCCACCGTAGTAGTTAGGAGTGGGACGATTTCGGATATCCTAGAATTTTAGAGTATCCGGATCCAAATCCAGAATCGTCGGAAAAACTATCTGGATCTAGAATCGTGACTTATGGATATCCGGACTCTAGAAATCTTTCCAAAAATCAATCCGAAATTAATATTAAAAATAATTAATAAATAAATAAAAATATATATTTAAAAATTATTAGTTAATATTTTAAATGATATTTTTTATTATAAATATAATTTATTATAAAAAAACTAAAATCAATTTTTATATATATTTATTTATATAAAATTAGTTTAATATATATAAAATATATACGGTTTTAATATATTTAATGCGTCCGGATCCGGATCCGGATATCCGGACCTTAAAATTTTGTTATCCGGATCCTTTTTTCACGGATCCAAAATTATACTATCCTTATCCGGATCCAGACTCCCTGGATATCCTAATTTTCGGAGCGATCCGATCCTGGATAATAATTCTACCCTAGCCGTAGTCACAATACCATGACACATATGCTTGCTTACTAGTTCTTAGTGCTATTAATCTTTTTAAAAAGAATGGTCACTAGAAAAAAAATTAAAATAAATCATGTTCAATAAGTTAAGTATTTGAGAAGTGTACAAAATTCAAACATAGAATCATTGTTTTAGAACAAGAATACAGGGGCTTAGGAGTCTCTGTCTGTGGTAGAGTCTTTGCTTTCTCTTTGAAAAGAGCTGTGAATCGTGTTTTGTAGTTTTCGAGGGAAGAGTTGGTGTTTATTTTTCAAGTGTGTGGACAAGAATCGTTGTGTTCTTCAGAAATCTGGAGTTTCTGAGCTGTGAGAAGAGTGAAATTTTATTCGATGAATGAATTGAAAAGAGGAGGGTCGAGTTA